GGCTCATATCGATGAGTCTCTTTCCGAGGTTGAGATGGGCGAAGAGCCTGCTGGGTTAGATATTGCGGTTGTCTTTGGTCCATCCGAGTCGGACATTGGGAATACCGAGACATCCTTTGTGGGTGTTGTAGAGCATCGGAGTCATTCGCTTGCTCCGTCGAGGAGTTTCGATACCGCTGAGGGGGGCTCTTTCTTGCTTCCAGAATCTCAGGTCTTGGGAGATGTCTCTACGGCTATGGATGTTGATGTTGTCGATTCCAATGTCGTGGATGTGCAACAATCGCCAGAAGAGTTACTGGACGGGATGAGAGATCACTATCTGCAGGCTCTCTATGTGTCAAAGGTGATATGCTCTGCTCGATATTTGGACGTTGCATTACTAACGTTTTCTAGACTTCTGTGGCGTACTTTGCGAAGGGCCCGTTAACGCGCTGCCGGACTGCTTTCCAGGCTCGTGACTCAGAACAGCCTCAGGGTTCGACAGAGCTCATTGAATCCTACCGTGAAGCTATCCTCGCTACAAAGAAAATGGACCTCAAATACAGAGAAACATTACCGTCGACAATTCGCGATGCGGTTCTTGCGCTTTCTGACGATGGCGCAAAATCTAAGAAGCGGAAGAGTAAGAAAAAGAAGATGGGCAAGAACGGTCTTTACCCAGAGGAGGAAGGATTCATCCAGAGGTGGTGGAAGGATAGAATCTTAAATGAGTGTCCTGCGCAGGAATCATCGCGTGAAGCAGAGTCTAAGAAGCAGATTTCAGATCTCCGGTTGCGCGAGACCCAATTGCAGATCCTGCTAATTTTGGAGGTCATGGTGTTGGAAATGACTATTGCTTCGATAGAGAAAAACAACACTAACAAGGAGAAAGATACAAATGGGGAGCAAGATACATCGAAGAAAGCCAAGCCTAAAAAGCCCACGGATTTGAACGTGCTGCTTGAGCTCCATCTCGATCGGATGTGCATTTGGCACGCCGTGACAATGGAAGAAACGTCTGCCGCTGATACGGCAAAAGCTTCTTCTTTCAATAGCAGCCATCTTTCAGGCAAGAAAGTTGAGAGCGATGCAGTGCGTGACTTCTGCACGGAAGTCATCATTCCATTCTATGCTGCCCGTCTCCCGGACAAATGCAAGTTGATCACCCGCAAATTTGGCGTATCTGGCGGTATCTCCCCAGCTGCTAAGAAGACACAATATTCGAGTAAATCACACCGCGCGGAGCCTGGGGCGGAAGTCAAGCGACAACAGCCTGCACCGAAGCCCCGACGAACCTTACAGCGAGTACTTACGGACGATAAAGCGGCAGCGTCCCATGCTCGGCACCCAGGACTGACTCGATCTAATACTGCACCGAGCCAGCATAATGCGAAACGCGATATTGAACCCTTGCTGCCCACTGTTCTCAGTGGCAGTGTCCGTGGCGGCATACAGAAAGCAAAACGCACGGAAAACCGCGAGGTTGATCTAAATGCCGTAGCACGACAGCATGAGGCCAAATTGAGAAAGGTTCAAATGCTGGCCAACCAGAAGAAAGAGCTGGATGCTGCTATTCACGCCCTCCGGAAGCCGAACAGAGAGCTTGTCTCCAAGGATCTAGCAGACGATGCATCAAAACGGGCTATAAGCGGCGGAGGCAGTTCAAGAAAGTCAAGAAACCCCGTACGCAATCCGTTCGGCGAAGGTGTGCAAGTCATGGCGACTCCTCGAGGCAATCGAAGGAAGGACGCGGTGGCTGGGCTACCGTCGCTCCCTCGTAGTCTGGCCCCATCCCGGTCATTTGCCGGTGTGGAAAATTCTCCTTTTGGCGAGTCTCCCACCATGATCCCATCCTCAGGTCGACGGGCGATCTCATTCTCTGGCGCCGACTCCGACCCTTTCAATTCTCATGACAATCCACACGATGGACGAAGTCCACGATCAACCCAGCCGGATGGGGCTATTCAAGAAACTCCAACTAGGCCATCTTCCAAAATTTTCCAGAGTGATACCATAGCTGCCCGTCGACCATCATCCTCCACTGGCAAAGGCTTGTTCAGGGTACCCAACCTTCCAGCGCCTCGATCATCCACACAGCCAATGGTCCCTGGCTCCCCTATTCATTCACGCTCTCGGGATATCTCCGCATTCGCAGAAAACTTGTCAATGTCATCTCGACAATTCAGCCAGTCGCTCAATCAGGCTCGCACCTCAGCAATCATGGAGACCCCGCCCAGAAAACAAGCACCGCAGAGTATATCTACTCCCACTGCTGTGCCATTTTCTCTATCGCTTGATGCTATGGTCACCGATAATCCTCGTTCTCACTCCCCACCTGTGGTCATTGGAACCCCCGTCAAAGGCGCCACAACTGTGCCCGTAACGCCTGATAAATCACAATCCAAGTCGATATATGAGCAGTTGGGATGGGACGACGAGATGGAGTTCTAATATCCTAATTTCCGATGCATATCGTCCTCACGTGTCATGCATTTATGCGGAGTTCTCTGTGCTGGTTTTGCTCTGCTGTGTGTTATTTTTCTATTTTATTTGTACTGGTGTTCGAATACACCTGGAGTTCGAGACGGCTGAAGCACTGGCAATAGCGTGCATTGTTGACTTCTTTTTGGATATATCCCCATCACTGCATTATCTTAGCTTTCTCATACTCATAAACATACAATACATTCTATCCATGTCTCAGGCGAGAGAAAGAAAAAAAAGTCAAATTTTCCGTACTATTTTTTATTGGGCTTGACATTCATAAGATGCCACGTGAGGATTTTCCTTTGAAGTGAGACACAACATAAAGTTCCAGGAAATTGGACTCCATATCTAAAGGTTCTAGCTTAGGATCGTACACCCCTAATTCGTGTTTCAGGTAGAGTGTACGGAGTACGAATAATCACGTCACAATGTACTCCGTAATTCTGTACTTCGTACTTCGTACTCCGTCGGAGTACGCGAAGTACAACGGGTATTCACATGGATCTACACTCCCGATACGCGTATTCCCCTGGTCAATGTTTTTGCACTTTTTACACTTTTATCACTACATGTATGTTGTGTATTAGATATTTAATGGTTCATTCTTCTTGCTATGTTAGCTATAGTACCAATAGAGGAGGGATGTCTAACAAAAGGATACAATGGGGAAGACTAAGACCGCCAAGAGACCAAAAATATATACTAATAAGACTAATAAGGCCACGCATATGACCGGCTATTCTTGTCCACTTTACACTAACCTGTCAGTTTTATTGGCTTAATGAAAGTCAATTGCAACTAGAGGGCCACTAGATCGATCTTGGCTTGACCTAAAAGGGCCTTACGTGGTCGCTCTAGTGGGCTCCACATTGAAGGCAGTCGTATTCGGGTGAGGATGTTTTGAATATGCGAAAAACTCCTGAGAAGGGCAGTCTAAACAGTCAGCTTTACTTCACCTCCACATTCGCCTTTTTGATATGACATCTAAACCTTTCCAAACTTTTCAACACAAATCCAACGATGCTTACAAAAATTCCAAGGAATCAGAGATCTGCACATATTCTGTGCCACTCAGTCCGGTCATGAGCGAACAAAACCATCACAAGGCCCCGAACCACAGCCGACCTTTATTATACGTCCCCAATACATTATGGACGCGATTATTTGCAACAACGGTCATCATTGAGACCATCCTCACAGTGGCAATTGAAAGGTAGGGGCCCGACCTCGAATACCAGTGCCTTCTCGGACTTGGAGCTTATGGGGAAAATTAGCTGGATACTGATGAGCTTGTGGGACGACCTCGACGACGACAGCAAAACAAACGGACAAATGCGCCTTCAGTCATTCCTAGGCCTATACATTTTCGCTCTGTTATACGAACTGGCTCTGTCATATGATGCACTGCGTCGAAGGAACACAATCCAGCTGGTCGGACTCTGCATCTGTAACCAGGGCCTGTTCGCATTTGGCATCCTGCAGATGCGGGAGATCAAGGATACTATCGCCACCTTGGCCAATAAAGACCTCAGCGACCGTCTGCAGGACTTGTATAAAATTGAACTCATTCTTGTCCCCGTACTTTTAGGTGTCGGGACTCTGTGCATGAGCTTTTTTACGTGGAAGTTGCGTGGGGAGTTCTCATGGTCTATATACAAGAATATCAGTGCGGACTTGCAGATGAAGCGTCGATATTTCGTATATCAGGTTTGTTGCGACTGTGCTGATAATGTCCTTTGTTCTATGACTGACCTAATCCTTTCCAGGTGTATATCGCTCTCCTGAAATTCGATTTCTTCTTCGTATTCGGAAGTCAACTCCAAATCCTCCTTGTCGTCTTTCAAGCCCAAGACTTCGATTTTATTATCAATGCCTCTGTGATCCCAATCACGATACTGACCTTGGTCCTCTCAGCTCAATTTTGCAAGCGTGAGAAAACGAAATCTCTCATACTTATGATGGTGCGCATTCTCGAGTGCGACAATATCCGACTCCAAACTAATCAGTCATTCAGTTCTTTATGCTTCTTATAATTGGATTTCTTGTCCTCATTCTCCTTCGAATTCACAGCAATTCAGAGAGCACTGATTTTAGCTCTTTTCGGGTATCCCTGACATTATTTGCAGCAGTGTCAGCACTTTTGATGGTTATCACAGTCATCAACTCCGTGATGTGTATCATGAATTTCAATAAAGGATTGAAGAATCACGTCTTCACCCCCAAAAAGCGGAAAACCTCTGTCTCGTTGGAACTCCAACCTCAAGAGACACCTACGCGGTTCCTGTTGAACTAAGTATGCTGATTCTACGACTTACTGCCCTTTGTTTTTGTGTATAATACCCTGATTATTCCATGTACGTATTGACTTGATTTACATATTTGGTGACTCAACCACCTGCTTGATTTTCTCTCCCTTCCGTTTTAGTATTCACCTCTTGTCGCTTTTTGGTCAGTAAATATGAGCACCTTCCTGAGATGAAAGTAAAAGGTATAAGGGGAAGCTTGTTTTGATATTGCGACAATGGACTACTATGCTATGGGATTGACGTTGCCTCTGTTAGTTCACGCTCAAGTAGCATTGCCTCATCCAAAACCTTCATGAATTCCTCCCCTTCGGCTTCCCTCAACGGAAGCAATGGCTTTCGTGGAGCAATTCCATACCCATGCAGCTTGTTCAATGCATACTCTATGTATAGTTAGCCCAACATCCATTAAAATCCTCTAGGGAGATACTAACTCATGGCCCGTATACCACCTGGAACTGCAGAAGCATCAGCTCGAGCAAGAATTCCTTGGATCTTTTTTGCTTCCTTGCGCTCGGCCTCCGTTGCTGATGGCAAATTCAGTAGTGACCAGAGCCTCATAGAAGCCACTGGCACAAAGTTAGGAATACCGCTAACAGTGCCATGACCACCACATTGCATCCAGGGGGTTAGATCCGCAATAAGGCCGTCTAGCAAGAGAAATGGGTACTTCCGTGACTCATTTATTGTGGTATCTTCAGAGATCAGGGCCTGAAGACGGATCAGCTTCCCCATACTCCCACCGCATCTGCTCTTATCAGCGCTGTCCAAATGGTAATAGTTGCCGAGAAGGTTAAATAAACTCACGTCAACTTCACTCCACATAAGTTAGTTGCTCTTTTCATAACTGCACTGATAACTTCTGAAGACATATCCTGGCCGCCAGCGTTGGAAGGGAAGTTGTATAACAATAGAGGAATCTGACACTTCATGAGCAATGATATATATAGTGCGTTATGGACAATTCATACCGGCGATGCTTCACAAATATCAACATAATATTGAATGACTTGGTCCATGTCCGTGTTCAGACTTGCAGCGTAGTAGGCTGGTAGAATAACCATTCCAGCATCTCTGTTATTGTTAGAAGGAAACCAATCAGTCAGGGGGTTCAGTGCCAACTTACGCCCCGGCATCTGCAGCAGCTTTGGATAAGCTAATAGTTTCTCGGGTACTGAGCCCTCCCACACCAGCGACTATTGGTGTAGAGTGCAGCCCTTCCCCATCCAAAGTTGCCCTGATGAAGCGGATAATAGATAGACGCTCATCGAAATCCTAAGAATATTTAGTAACATGAAAAATGCATAATAGAAGGAATGGAATTCACCAGATGAACAGCTTCCCCTAACGATCCAGCACATACTGGTACTAAACGAGTGGTCGCATTAGTGTGTGGGGTTTCATACTATACGTTAAATCAACTTACCCATGCCGCGGGTGACCATAGCTGTGACCGATACCAAATTAGTTTCATGTGGCTGGTAAATTTCCAAAGATAGGTCCTGTCTCACCTAGGAGATGTCTCCGGTAGCTGTCAAAATCAATCTCTTGGTTGTCATCGAAGAAAGTTGGTAGTGGCACGTATACTCCTGGCCGGAGTGGTCGTGTAGTGTACGCCATTGTGAAATCGCTACAAGCAGTTGAATAGTAGTCACTAAGTCAAATTCCAGATTTTCAGGTTCTTCAATATTTAATGTCCAACCCCTTCGTACCTATGAGGGGCATGAGTATCGGGAGCATCGGTCGGTAAGCCGCTGATAAGATAGGTGCGGCAAGTCTCCGCTCGACCCGCATTGTAGTCAATCGTTCCACGGTTGGAAGAGAAGCCTTATCGCAGAGATAATGAGTTGGTTTAAGCTCCATGTGGCGTTTTTATGGATGGGTTGATAATTATATATGAGGATTGGTCTCCCTTTTGACAAAGGCAAAGATTCATTCCTCGACCAGCTACGTTAAACAATATGCAGGACGAGGTAAGATATATTTCCTTGGGCAGTAAGATGGATATTTTGATATTAACCCACATCTCAGAAAACCAAAGAGTTGGCTTACGATGCCAGCGAGATTCCTGTCGACATGGGAACTGTCCAAGACGCAGGTAGCAACCATGGCCTCCAACGACAGCTTAGGGTATGTCAAGCCACACTTTTTGTTTTGATGACTACTGGAGTGAACTGACAACAAATATAGCCAAGGCATTTGTAAGTGGCAGCACACTTGGGTCTTCCAAGGACATAAGGGGACTCACAATTTGATCTAGACAAATGATTGCCATCGGAGGTGTTATCGTCAGTCATTCATCCTGCCCCCATGACTTTATTTCCGTACTGATAAATTTTCAGGGTACTGGTCTCTTTCTAGGCACAGCGAGCGATCTTAAGAATGGTGGACCAGCTGGCCTTCTTATTGGATACTGTATTATGGCTTCGTTGCTATATTCGGTAATGGTAAGGCAACTGCCGACTTCCTCATATCTTCAAGAAGAGCTAACGACTATCTACAGGTTGCTCTCGGTGAGATGGTATCGCAATTTCCCATTCCAGGCGGTCAATTTGCTTTGGCTGGCCGGTTTAACTCACCTGAGCTTGGATTTGCTATGGGTATTCTGTTCTGGTACAAGTGAGTGGGATTGTATTCTGATCTATGAGAGCCTGGGCTAACAAATTCTTCAGTTATATTGGTGCGGCGATTCTTGCCTATCTCGGGAAATCAGGAAATATCTAACTTTCATAGTTGTCTTACCGGCTGAAATTTCCGCGGCGGCTGTTCTGGTTACATTTTGGACCCCGGCAGGACAGGCAGATTCCACATGTTCCACTGGCATCTGTAATAATGCCATGTGGGTTGGACTGATGCTTATAGCTGTGGTATGGATTTTTTTTTACCCTTCCAAATAATTGGATTGCAAATGATACTGATGATGATAGTTTGCTATCAACTATGCGGGCACGCGAATCTTTGGTGAAATGGAATTCTGGTTCTGTTCAATTAAAGTAAGATTGGGATCGTGCAGTCTCAAAATTGCGGAGATACTGACCGATATAGGTTGTGACCATCATTGGCCTTATTATCACTGGCGTTATCATTAGTGCCGGTGGCGGTCCTAACCACGAGGCTATCGGATTCAAATTTTGGCACGAAACTGGTGGATTCATGCAGTATGAAGGCATTGGTAAGCCGATCAATCCAGTACCACAATTTTTACCAGCATCTAACATTCAATAAAGCCGGTTCGAAAGGGCGTTTCCTCGGATTCTTCGCCGGTAAGACCAGATTCAACCTATAAGCTCGTACCGAGTAACTCATTGGTTTATAGTTTTGATTAATGCTGCGTTCGCATTTATTGGATCTGAAATTACAGCAATTGCAGCTGCCGAGACTTCAAACGTAAGAGTTTTTCGAACTGATCGCGAATTCACTTCACTTACAACCTATTACAGCCACGAAAGAATGTCCCGCAAGCCATCAAGAGTGTCTGGATTAGGCTTGTACTATGTTAGTTGAGGTTATTTCTTTCTAAGACGGCGATATACTAACTTCCCTTCCCTTCAATACAGTCTATATCTGCAGTGCCTTCTTGGTAAGTGTCCAAACCTTGATAATTACTAGCAGTCTGCTTACAATCACAGATCGGACTCCTCGTGTCTCCCTCCGATCCCTCTCTCAGCCTTTCTTCTACTGCGGCCAAGAGTCCCTTTGTTATCGCCATCCAAGTAATTTACCACGCAAATATTGTCTTAGGGTCAAAAAGCTAACATATACAAACAGAACTCTGGGATCTCGGTCCTTCCTTCCATTATCAATGCAGCCCTTCTCACCAGCGCGTGGTCTGCCGGTACAGCCGATCTCTTTGTCTCGTCGAGAACCTTATACGGACTGGCAACCCGTGGACATGCCCCTAAGATCTTTCTCAAGACTCGGGAAGACGGCTTCCCTTGGGTTTGCTTTTTGTTCTGCGGTGCTTTCTCCTTCCTGTCATTTATGGCCGCTGCCCACGGAGAAGCTGGCAAAGTGTTTGGCTATTGTGAGTGGATATCTCGAAGAAATTCTGTGCTAGATTATGAAACTAATTCCAATGAAGTCTCGAACATGACTGCAATGTGTGGTATGATCTCCTGGACAGGAATCTTGTGGACCAGCATCCGTTGGAACAAAGGCCTCAAGGCGCAGGGCATCGATCGAAAGACACTCCCATATATGGCACCTCTTCAACCATATCTATCATACTGTTCGTTTTACAAGATTCTGTTTTGTGTGGGAGATACTAATTTCTACGATTTTTCAGATGGAATCTCAATTTGCATCATGGTCATCATCTTCGGCGGGTTTGGTTCCTTCAGTGAGTTCACAAGACATGAAGCACCTCGTTCCCTTTACTAACCTCCGCCGCAGTGCCTACCTTTGATGCTTCCACTTTTGTTACGACATACTTTCCAATTCCGTTCTTTGCCGTGCTCTTCTTCGGATACAAGTTCTGGAACAAGTCAAAGATGGTCGATTATGCCAATATGGACTTTGTCACCGGCTCTTCGAATGAGGTTACCGAGAAGGTTAGTCCCATGTTACCCTAAGCGTTTCATCTAATTAACAGTTGACCGTCTAGGCGAGCCCTCAGAATCTGTGGCAGAAGATTTCCGATAGGATCTAGGTAACAATTCTCTTGCGCCGACAAGCCATACGTGATTAACAATTTATAACCTTATTTTACTGCTATGTATACGATAGACAAAGTGCTTGTTTCAATTTGAATTACTTATTATTTCTCTCACTGGTCGTTAATTGCAGTAGACCATGGGTTTCTTCCGCAAATTATAAGGCTTAGCATAAATGCTTCGAACCCTGGGTGCTATACACCTACAACGTGCCTTTGGTGTGGGGCGATAAGGGAAAATCAGTAAAGCGTTATCGCCTATAATCAACCTTGGAACTTGATAGCGATAGATAATCCTGTATCTCAAAAAACACATTGTTCCTGTCATCGGACAGATAAGCGGCACAAGCCGATGGCTGTCGGCTTGAGAGCCGTGCGTCCCGCTTTATTCCATTTTACTAGAGTTCGACATCCTCTCTCAATTTAATACTGTGATATTGACAAGTCTATCGAGAACATGGCGCCTAACTTTGATTTGGTGGTGATTAATGCGACAGTTGTGACTGCCAGCGACATCAGGTACCGGGCCTCTGGTGATTCCCTAAACATATACATGGTCGCTAACGAAATGAAGCAAATGCTGTATCGGGGTCAAAGATGGAAAAATTCAATCTCTTGCGAATTCATTCACAGATGATGAGTTGGCAGGTACTGAGATCATAGATGCTGAGTACGTGCTCTGCGAATCCGAAAAACCAAACACACAATTAACATGTCGAATACAGAGGTGCATATGTAATGCCTGGGGGTGTCGATGCACATGTCCACTTATGTCAAGACCTGAAAACTGGTAGCTAAATCACCTGTTTTAAATCAGCATTGAGACTAATTTTTGTAGGTCCACACGGCCTTGGGGGTGAATGCTCCGATAACTTTGAGACCGGGTCAAGAAGTGCTGTTGCTGGTGGAACCACTACCATCATCACTTTCGCCACTCAAACTAGAGCGGAAGAGGACCGAAGCCTCTTGAAGGTGGCTGAAAGGTATAATGCCCGTGCTGAGGAGACGGGCAGTTATGTGGACTACGGATTCCACATCATTATTGTTCGCAATGATGCGGATATTCTTGAGAACGAGCTACCGGTATTAATCAAAGACTGGGGGATCAGTAGCTGCAAGTTATTCTTAACGTATGCGACGCAGCGTTTGACTGACTCACAAATGTTGGATGTTATGTTTGCGGCGAGGAAGAATTCTATCACCACAGTGAGTTAGCCTCTGTCAACGTGATATCTACAGTGGATGGCGGTTAATATTGTATTAGATGATTCATGCCGAGAATGGGGATATGATAGAATGGTTGACAGGTAAATTCATTGCTGGGGGATATAGAATGTTTAAAACTGACTCAGACACAGAGAAATTGGAGAGCAAAGGAATGGTTGGTAAGTACACACACAATTATTGAAATTTTGTTTCCTGCTTGCTAACCTATACCAGCTCCGTATTATCACGCCTTGTCGCGTCCTCCGCTTGTTGAGGGAGAAGCCACCAATAGAGCGATTGCCTTAGCACAGCTCATCCAGAATCCAATTTTGTTTGTTCATGTTGGCTCAGTGGTACGTCCATTTCTCATAATAAAAGGGTCTTATACTAAATCAGGTAGCTTGGTGCTGCCAATGTGCGTCGTGCCCAGACGATGGGACTGCCAGTCTACGCAGAGACATGTCCTCAATACTTCCACCTCACCTGGGATGATTTGGTAACTTGCCCCAACCTAAAGCAAATAGACAATCACTAATTTAAATTATAGAAACGGTTTCACTCACCCACATGTTTCGAAAACAGCAAGATGATTTGCTCGCCACCTCCGCCACCCACCGCAGCTGATCATGAAGAGCTCTTTGTGTAAGACTGGCTGCATTTAATACAGGGTATCTTTAGCTGACATTTAAAAAGCGGCCTGTCAAATGGGACATTCACGATTTACTCATCTGATCATTGCCCTTTCCGCTACGACCACCCTCATGGAAAACCATCCGGTGTGTTAGAGCACGAAGCAAGTATGGAGGGAGAGAAGTCATGCAGCGGATCAGAGCTGCAAGGTTTATTGAAGCGGAAAGGAGGCGCATTTCGCTTTATTCCAAATGGGATCCCGGGCGTTGAAACACGCCTGCCGTTACTCTATACGGGGGCATTGGCCAGTGGTCGCATTACGCCGCAGCGATTCGTTGAGTTGACATCGACAAACCCGGCCAAACTGGTAATTAGATTCTTACACCTTTTCTAACTCCTTGGACTATTACTAACCTATCGATAGTATGGCCTATATCCTAAGAAGGGGGCATTAATGCCCGGATCAGATGCCGACTTTGTGATAGTAAGATATAAATTCCGATATACAAACCGCTGCTCCATGATGAAATTGACATGCTGTAATTCCAGTGGCACCCAGAGAAGACGTTCTCCCCGTTCAATCTCACTAATTCGATGCTACACCACAACGTCGACTGTAAGTGCTACCCACGATCAAGGATATACTTTACAAGCACGGAAAGCTGACATTGTAACTTTAAAGACACCCCGTACGAAGGGATGAGGTTCGAAAACTGGCCTCGATATACAATTCTTCGTGGTAAGGTCATGTGGGCAAATGGCAAGATAACCGGCAAGGTACGAGATGGAGAGTATGTAAAACGTGGACCGAGCCAATTGGGGCCGGTATCTCCTAGAGCTACTCGCGATCCTCGCACTGTAGCCGATTGGCTCTATGAATAAAGCTTTCTGGGGTCTATAGATGGTACTGCGAAAAGCAGGCTTAAGTAGGAATACAATGTACTCCCTCCAAGCCTTCCATCTAAAGACCGTCCAATATTTTATCGGTGTGCTATGTACGACACCATTTGTATTTCTCCGACTAATTTACAAGACGGACTAACAAGATTAGAGCCAAAAATTAGGCGTGTGGGCCCTAGATTAAAAGTGGTAGCGCCTCCAAGCTAGGAAGTCAAAAATAGCATTTCTACTCGAGATATAAAACACACTTTGCACAAGTGATTTTCAGGCAATTTAAGCCTAACTCCGAGATTCTATATGGTAATTTCTCCAAAGCCTACCACTTGTTATCACTTTCAATTGTATCCGATATCCTGATATCCTGTAGGAATTAGACTTTAACGGAAGTTCCACTAAACCTTCCAAGGTTGCCCAGGTGGAACCTTCCAGGAACACCCGGATATCGGTAGCAAATCAGCGTCTGAGACGTTATCACTGATAACGAGCAACGAGTATCCCCAGGCCTTTTTCTTTAGTTTGACTCTTTAAGATGTGTCTTGTGTCTTGTCTTAGTCCCAGTAACATAGGTGTGAACATGTCCTTCAATACCAACTGGCCAGATAATCATAGTACAGACGATGAGCGGCCAGCCAAGACACGTCGGATTGCCCGAGCTTGTCTACAAGTGAGTGCTACAAATTCAACAAGGCGATATAGATACTTAACACATCCGTTTTAGTGTCGAGCACGGAAACAACGATGTTTACCATCATCCGAAGAATACAATTTACAATTACCATGCAAGCGATGTCAAAGACTAAGCATCACTTGCTCATTTGAGACAGATAGAGCTCCAACATTGGATCTGACTCAAAGTCCATCAGGTCTAGTACAGCTGGTAATTGAACTTCAAAATCGGTGAGATTTAGAATTTCCACTCGGTCAAGAGCAGATGTTAAAACCTGAAGCAGACTTAACCAACATGAGACACGAATATTTGAGCTAGAAAATCAGAAGCGTCCATTCAACGTCAATACAAAGGAAAGTCCCAGAGATATCCAGCCTGAGTGCCAGGGAGCTCTTTCGAGAAGTCAAAGCGATATATATGATTCTCCCGAATCGAGTATCGACGGAATTCATTTGGGCCCTCCTATTGCAACACTGCGATCGTTAAGAGTGCTTGCGGAAGAAAGAGTTCATGCATCAACTTTGAGAGCCCAGAGATACAAGAGCATATACGACCCTACATATCAGGGACTTCTTACAGTCGAAGAGGTTGAGCGAGCAGTTGAAATGTATTGTACAACTCTGTTCGGGGGAAATGCTGCCTACTAATATGCAGTAGATTTTTTCAGCATTGCCATGCCTCGGCGCCTGTATTAGATGAAGGCATCCGGGATACATGGCAGGAATACCTTCAAACAAGCCCAACACTCATACTGGCCATATGCTCAATTGGTACCCGGTTTTGGGATACGGGTGATCAAAGGTAGAGAGTGCGAATAGCTGAATCCAGAAGCAAGGCTAATAATACGTACTCATGTCCAGTGATGGCTCTATTGTCGGTCATCCCCGATTCCACGATCTTACACAATTACTCGACAAAGCGGTCTCCAAACTCCTTCTCCGGCCAACTCCATCAGATGTCACATTAGACTCTATCTGTGTGCTTCTACTCTATGCCCAATGGATGCCGTGCAGCAAAGAAGATGATGAAGATGAGAATGTTGAGTGCCAAAGTACCTATCACGAACCTAAGGCTAAAAGTCGATACAACGAGATCAGTGCTTGGGTTGTCTTAGGCCTAGCAGAACGATACTCTGTCCTGCTGGGCCTCGAACAATCAGCCACATCACTTTTTAAAACCCCCAACAAGGTACCATCCATAGAGGATGTGAAGAGGCTACGAGTGTGGTACAACCTGCTCACATGCAACTTCAACCTTATGCTAACATCTGGTCTGCCTACATCAATTGATCCTAGTCCATCAGTTCAGGTAGCGTGGAGGTTTGTCTCTCATGAGTTGATGCAGTCCCCTGCGGATCTTCGAGTAAGGGGACTTGTGGAACTTGTCGGGATAGTCCACCTTGCTATGTCTAGTTCTGGGGATAAATCTGGCCGCCAATTGCAGCCGAGTTGCTTGGAACGGCTGAACAGTGATTTAGATGATTGGGAGAGGTAAACTAATATTCCTGGGGGTTCCATTTTTGACTTACTGACAGCTCGCAGATCTTGGTTTTCTCGTTTACGTGCGTTCATGAGACATCTTATACTCACAGCTATTAACAATCACCAGAGGAAACCGAATCCCATTACAACCATTTGCCATTCACTTCGGCCCGGGTATGCAATTACCTATCTACACGTTTCTGGGATAATCTAACCGGAGATGTAGTGGTACCGACTCTCCCTCAATTGTGCATCATTCGCACCACTACTTTCTTCCCCACGGGTATATCGACGATCAACAGATTCAAGTGAATCACGTTTCCGACAGGCACTTTCAGTTAGCTTGACCGCAGCAGCACAAATCATATTAGCACAATCCACCTTCAAGGCAGATACTGTCTTCTCACTAGATTCGCAGGAACTCTCTAGCTTTCCTGACGAGTCATACAATGTGGACCGTTCGTCCGTGAGTCGATTATATTACACGGTGGACTCAACCTGGATTTCACACACATTCGCAGTCATATTCTTATGTATTTGCTACATTCGGGGCATCATCGATGGTAAGATACTCATATAGATGCTTTGAAGTGATAATCTAAGCTTCTCAATTACTGACAACATGGAAAACAGAAAGCCTACAAATTTGTAGCCAAGGGTCTAGTCAGGAGGAAGGGAAAATCTTGACACGCCTTCCCTCCTCTTCTTGTTCAGTTCTCGCTCGACTCCTTCGTCTTGCGATAGAAATCTTTGACAGTGTTTCTCCGGCCACGACATTCCATTTTGCCCACGACTTCCAAGCCATTGTTCACTATGCAGTTGCTTTGGTACTAGTCTCTGAAAAGGACAAGCAGCATATTGAGGAAAAGGAGATCGATGATATGGCATTCCAGTCTCTGTTAGATTTGATGAATGATTCGGGTGTTGACTGGGCAGGGAATCTTTTCGGAGAGTCGCTTGATTTCCCGGAGTTGAACATGGATGGAATGCTTGATAATTGATAGTTGCATATTATAGCTTTGAAGAGCCATGCCTATATCAAAATTTCGATCTATAATTAGTATTCAAAGAAAGCTGTAGCCTATACACTGGTGAGAATAAACTTACCTCTCTGCAACATCCAACTCAAACAAAACATCTTGGGCTCCCTCCCAAAGCACCAGCTCACCCAGTGCCTTTAAGTTCTCAGTTCCTTCAACAATAGTCAAGAAATGATTGGCCGCCAGCGGCCCCATTTTACTTGCAAACGCAACACCTCCATAGCAGAACAGAATCTCTGTTTCGGAGATGCCACCAGGATATAGCAGAATCTGACCCGCAGCAGGGTGAGCCGTATGGTTCTCAAATGGTAGTCCGAAATCGGTCTCTCCTAACGGGATCCACATACCCTCCCCGCTCCAACGAACATGAATGAGCTTTTGGCGGTATGGGAGGAGGGTGCGGAAAAGGGCCACTGTTTTGGGAGCTGAGGATTCGAATCTCGCGCGGAATTGGTATGGACCGGCTGTTATTAGGATGGAAGTCATTTTGGCGATATGAGAGGAAATTAAATTATTAACCTTTTGTTTGAGAGGAAGAAAATGTTGAACTATTTGAGTAACCGTATCTCACGCATCGGCATTTTCGGGGTCGGGCCGCGCGGGCTTCAAGCCGCGCGCGGGTTGATCAGGAGTCATATCAAAAGCGACGATTGCCTCGCGAAGTTGGAGATTATACAACTCACTTCACAATTCAATGTCTGATCATATGGATATTTTGGTGTACGATAACACCTGTCCTTCTCGGGCAGGTGCTCAACAAACGATCCAAGAGGGCTCACTGTCCATCCACCCAATACTCCACTCGGAAGACTCATCTTTTGGCGCAGAAGTATACGGTGTTGATTGGAGCAAGCCTATCCCAGGTCATGTTGTCGCGCAAGTGAGTTATATTACGGAGGTTACAAGAAACCACTGACAAGTTGCTAGTTGATCGCTTTGCAAGACAAGTATGGAGTATTAATATTCCGCAAAACAGGGCTAGACAATAGTCGGCACATTGCATTCTCGCAGCAACTAGGTGACAGGTTAGAAGTCAATCCGTTCTTTTACGGACGAGAAAATGACAGATTGGGCGAACCGTTACTATTCGACGTAGCCAAGTAAGTGTTCCACGAAAATGCAATATCGAAGGTATGTCACGTTCTAATGAGAGTAGCATCGAGTTGGATGGTTCTCTGGTGAAGATGAACAGTCGCAGGTATCATCACAGTTTGGGGAATGCGTTATGGCACACCGTAAGCATTATCATCCCCAGCGAGCAACACCCATGGGTACTGACCAATCTAGGACTCCTCATATCACCAACAACGATCCAAGTATTCCATACTGCTTTCTCATGGGAATCCGGTCGAAGGCGGATCGTGGACCCATTTTGCAGACACACGTCGTGCCTACAGTGACCTATCTCAAGCGAGAAAAGACGAGATTGAAAACCTCGTTGTTGAACACGAGTAAGCCATCTACTTCGAGATGTCCCTGTCTCTAAAGCTAATTTTATCCAGTCTCTGGCATTCCCGAAAACTCGCCTCACCGGCTGTATTTGGAAATCCTCTTCCTCATGAACTGGCAGCCAAGCCACCGGCCTACCACCGTCTCGTTCAAACAGCACCAGACGGGCGAAAGACATTGTACCTGGCGGCGCATGCCAAACGGATCGTCGGCAAAGGTATCGAGGAGAGCCAACAGCTCATTTGGGAGTTGATCGAACATTGTACACAGTCAAAAGTGAGTCTAAGTCAGCCATTATCTACCAACCTCCGAGGCTAACTTGGGCAGTATGTCTTCAGCATGGAGTGGCTGTCTGGCGGGGATATGGTCTGGTGGGATAATCGGTAAGTCTCAAAGAGTCTTGCCTTATTGCATTACTAATAATTATAGCCAATCGATGCATCGTGCCAATCCCTATACCGCGACGATGACTGCGAGGGATGTCCGCCGTTCCACGATCCTTGATGATGGACCTTGGGCATTGGGCGTCTCGCCAGCAGAACTAGAATAACGACCCCGCCGATACAAGGCCATAGCATCCACGGCATCGCATCAACATATGCTGTAAACTAGCATAATGTGGTTAAATAGAAACAGTGAGTAGCGGTTTGTCGTTTAGATGTACTATATACTAGAATCAGTCGCCCTTTCCTTAACCTCCAACTTGCCGTTACCTGGTCCACTAGCATGTACACATATTACCTAATCGGGGAACAAGGGCTCCCGGCCCCCTCCTAATTTGGAATATCACATGATCCATCGCCTGGCCCGGACTGAAATATACCTAGATTAGGTAATTCTGAGTATTTTCATAAAAGCGGCACTAAGGTGTATAGCTAGATACCGAAGTAGTTGGGGGAAAATCAGCTCTATATTTCGAACTGAATGGAGATTTGCATCGAATAGCAACTCGATGCACTTTCCAAGGTTGATTCAATTCTTCATAAAATTGAAATCTTTCAAAACTCCGTTGATGGTATTTCCGTTCATGATTGGGCAGACCGGCGGACTGAAGATTTGCCGAACACCTCAGTGACCTCTCCCAACTCGCCTCATGGTTTTCTCTAGGAAAAGCAATCTGTTTGCATTTTGAAATCAGCTTATGGATCGAGATGTCCACTGAATTCCAGGGTATACCCAGTCGGTCTAGCCAACAGCCCACCCTTCGCACCACAAGACCCAAGAAGAGACCCGTGGCGTGAGTATGTCCAAAAGCGGCATCAAACTTCCGCTCACCACTTTCACAGCTGCCATCGGTGTCATGCGCAAAAGATCAAATGCTCCGGAGAAAAGCCTTGCTCCAAATGCCGAGTTGCAGGCTACGAAGCGCAATGCAGATATGCGACCCGAGATCGCAAAATACGGGTGGATGAGAGGTGTCCATCTTCTTTGATCGCTAGTTTCAAAATGTGTCACTGACTTGAATAACTGATAGCTATTTGGAGCAACTCCTAAAAGATAGCCAAGAGCTACATGATCGACGGCATCGTTTGAAACAGGAAGACCGCTCAAACAGACAAGAGCAAAGCTCTAGTCCCCAACAAATATATGGGGATACTGCCATTGAAAACACCGAGCCCCTGGTACAGAGTAATCTCCTTGGTGAGAAGCCGTGGTTCCAGTCCAACGATGCGTCAGTGGTTCCTCTTTATATCAGCGAGGCAACTTGCGCTGCCTTTGCCACTCGTCTGTGCCAATCATTAAAAGGGACCAGCACGTCAACACCTCATCTTCCAAGATCCCGTTATACTGACGAGACCACAATATCATCTTTACTTTATACAGATGTACAATGGCCCGGCCTTGTAAGTGCCCAGCTGTTGGCCAAGACCGCACTTGGCCACATCACCCCAAGCTTCCATTTGGTATTGAAGAAAGACACATTGGACATGCTCCATGGTGTCTACCAGAGGGGTGACTTCGATAATCCCAGTATAAAGTGCAAATACTTTGCTATTTTTGCCATCGCCCAAGTTTTTTCAACTCCTCATGATCTTTCCGACACGTCGAGTGTACCTGGCTTGGCCTATTTTGCCAAAGCGTGGAGCCTGGTGCAGATCGTCCCCGAACGACCAAGCATGATTCATATAGAAAGTCTCCTCTTGATTGTTAGCCCCCTTGTCGGCAGTCACCTCGGCTCTTGCTTACTCTCTGTAGGCCTTCTTCTGCCAATTTTTGAACCGCTTTCACTCTGCCTACCTTCTGGTCGGAAATGCATTACGACTCGGCCTCAGCATGGGCCTAAACTATAACATTCCGCAAACCCAAAATCTACACCCAGTAGCACGAGAACACCGCATTCGAATATGGTGGACTATTTATGTGCTTGACCGGTTCTGGGGCTCAAAGTCGGGATTCCCTATACAAATTCACGACGAGGATATCCATGTCGATCTACCGTCCATCTCGGCATCTGAAACATACCATGACCAATTTTCAGATGGCGCTTACCAGGTGGCGTCCATAGAACTTGCCAAAATTATCGGTGACACAACAGGGGAGATATACTGTCGGAAGATTTCGGCCGAGACCTTTTTGCATCGTGAACAGAGCCTCTTGACTCAATTGAGACAGTGGGTTCGGTCTCTTCCTGAGCATCTGAGACTCAGTACAGAAAGTTCAAACTCAAAACATACGGTTCAGATGCATCTACAGTTCAATTATGTAAGAGCATCACACTCTCTGGATCCCTTCCAACATCAGATACTGACTATTTTAGTGTGTCATCCTGGCAATTCGACCAGTCCTTCTCCATGTCCTCGCCTTCCAAATGAAACACCAAACCAATCAGTCTATGGATTCCATTTCACCCATCCTGGTCACTTTAAGCGAGGCATGTATACACGCAGCAAGACACTCGCTAGCATTATGTGTAAATGAATGGACCGGCGGATCCCTGGCAATATTTGGCTACGCCTTCCCTGCCTACCTCTTCTCTGCTGCATTGGTTCTGGTGGTTTCAAGTCTTCTGCCGCTCGGAGATCCAAGTGATTTGACATCGGCCGAAACCGCAACAGAAATACTCAGGAATCTCAGCTTATCTGATAATCTCACATCGAGGGACCTATACGAACGCATGCAGCGCGTGCGCCAGTGTCTCCACGATAGCCCGCTGTATTCTTCATCGGCATTTTCCCACGGTGTCGTGGAAAATGTTGCCAGTATGTTGCCGATGGCTGGAGAATCGGATTCCGGATCATTACAACCACGCCGAAGTTCAAGCAATCTCCAATCCTCCACCGGGCCGCTGGAAGATTTGGGTCGACCACTCTTTGAATCGAATGTCCCATATCTCACCACGGAAATGGCTCTACATCAACCAACCATGCTAGATTTCTTGACCCAGTCTCATGTGGATTTTGGACTACTTGACCCAGTGGAGATGTTCAATGATTTCGATTTAGCTTTTTCAATGCCTACCAATTGATGCCTGGGTTAATAATCAGAGGTGCATAAGGTTCCGATTCATCATC